GAAAAGTTGTTCAATTTCCACCAACTATTAAAGTTTGCAAATTTACTTAAGAAACGAAAATTAAAGGGATTTGCAGTCAAATTTAAGCAGTAGAATCAAGTGGAAAATTGGTAGATAAGGACTGGCCGGGGTGGGTGAGAGGCGTGGGAAGTGGTTTTTTGTCCATTAATTCATTATTCTTCAACTAATTATATCAATTGCATTAAATAAAACTATTTATTTGCAAAGATCTTGAGAAAACTGCAGAAAACGGAGCTTCAGATTGGCGCTGCTGGCCAACGAGCTGCAGACGGTGGGGCCCCCAGCTAATCTTGTTTTTAAATGCAGCAATTCGCTTCTGCACTAAATTGCTGAGCAATTTGCCTCAAGTTCTGTTGACTTGTCTTATTTGGCCTCTTTATTTCGTGCAAAGAAACGAAGAAGCCGCAGAAAATGAATCTCTGATCTTTTTTGCAAACTTCTTTGGCTGGAAGTGCAGCAGAAAGCAGGCGAAGTCAGCCCACAGCGTGAAAGGAAAGCGGGCGAAGTGAAGCTGCTGTGGATATATCGCTGTAGCTAAGATGTGGGCCCGAGCATTCATCTATGCAAGACCTCGCGGGGGCACAAGTCGAGAAGAATCTGTTTTTTGTGGACCTGTATAGGCCTTTTCACTTCACTTTTAAATTTTCTGCAAATAATAAAGTATATATTTGATGGGTGGGGCTCCTCTAGCTCTGGTTGAACTCCACGGCTGGACTATCTGGGGTGTCGTGCTGATCGTGTTTGCATTCAGTTAGCTTCTCCACGCGTTGTTGGCTCAGAAGAAGAGGCAGCGCTTCATCGTCGGGCCAAAAATAGTGAGAAAAGTCCAAAATAATGGTTCTTTAGGCTTTGTAATCTTCTTTTCTGTGTGTGCCATGCTGGCTGAGCTCTTCGTGTGCTGCGAGGCTGGGGGCGAGCAAGCAACGCGCAGCGGCGAGGGATCTACGCCTTCCTTACACCACAGCTCTAAGAACTAACAATCAAAAAGTAAATTTAATTCGAATTCAAGAAATAATACGAATCCTCAGGACAGTGAAGGCTAGAACTGCGGTTGGCCCCTGTGCACGGCTGGCTTGCTGGCGCTCGATGATCCCACAGAGCGTGAGGGCAAGAAGGCCACAATAAGCCATAAAGGCCGGGGTTAACTGGTGCGTTTGGCTTTAAAAGAGGATTTTGGAATAAAAATTGAATTAAGGAGAATTCGTTTGTTGGAATGGCGGCGAGTTTGCGAGGCTGATCGGCGCGCATCGAACGCTCGACAGCCGACACTGCATGGCGCTGCCGACGCGTTGGTCCACCGCGGAAAACTGCAATTTTCGAAGAGTTGGTTTTATTCTCCGTCTTTAAACTATTCAAAGGCATCAAACTCGCGGGAATAACTCTCAAAAGTGGTGTTTACCTGGCCGCCGTGGTCGCGCTGGTCCCTGCAGGCCCAGTTTTAGTTCCGCCTGGGGGCAGCAGATTCCCGCAGTTCGCCCTTCCCCTACTCTTTCAAAGCCCGTCTCCTCCGTTAATTTACCTTTTTATTTCGAAGTTTTATTTCGGATCTGGCTGAGAAGGCCTGCTGCGCGCCCTGCGTGGCTGCTGCTAGCTCGCGCCGCCGCTGCAGTTTGCGGGCTCTGAGGGGGGGTTTTCCGGCGTTTCGCGCGGACTTTGGCCACAATTGGAAATGGAGAACTCCTGCAAAAGCAGCAATGCCTGCGAATTTGCCGGAGTGCCTTCGAACCGGCAGGGGCGGGGGCTGCCGCACCGGCGGCCGGGCTCAGTGCCAGCAGCAGCAGCAGCAGACGCCGCAGGAATGTGCACGGGGCGCATAACAGAGCTGCAGCAGCACACGCGGAAGCGGACGGACTGGCTGCACCGCAAGGGCCGCGAGTCTGCAGCTTTTTCGCTGCGCGTGGACGCAGCAGCAGCAGCAGCAGCAGCAGCAGCAGCAGCAGCAGCAGGTTCGCAAAAGAAAAGCCAACTGCGGCACTGCGGGGCCAACCTCGAGGACCAGCGGCGCCACTTCCAGACCCGCTGGAAACCCGTGGAGGGCAAAATGGCCTTCTGCACTGGCCGCAGAGAAGGCAGTGCTGCTGTTGAATGCGATTATGACTTCATCGACAGAGACAACACTTACCACACTTGGAAGCGAATGAACGAGGGCCAGCGACACACGGGATCCCACCTGCAGGCGAGTATTTCATGCAGCTTTCCCGCTGCTGCTGCTGCTGCTGCTGCTGCTGCTGCTGCTCCACTTGCTGCTGATCTCTGCTTTTTTCCCGAGTTTCTCCCTTTAAATTTAAAAAATATCGCGTTTTATCACAAGTGCTTTTGCTGGGCTTTATTTTTTTCCCCGAGTTCGCCTTCTTTCTGGTGTTTCCGAGATCGGCGGCGCAGCAGCCCGCTCTGCGCTCGCCCAGCGGAAACTTGAAAATATAAAACTTCTTCATTTACGAAAAAAACAAATTAAAAGTCTTTAAAGGGCATTTAAGTGGAACTTGAGCCGCTAATTTGCCACTTTGGGCCTCAGAAACTCGAGCTTGGTGCGCGTTCATGTTTGGGTTTGAGTGGCTTCTGCCGGCGGTGAACTGCGGCAGCGCGAGGGAAACCCGCGGTAAAGTGGCATTAAAAAGGAGAAATAAAAGAACTAAAGGGTTTATTTTTGATTTTAAATCCCGGAAAACTCGAATTGGGGTCTTTTGTTCCGCTTTCTTGCTGCAGTTCGACCGCTTTCTCACCGTGGAAGAGTCCGCAGGCCGCAGCGACCGGCTGCCCGAAGTGCACAACAGAAACCCGCCGCTGCCGAACCTCGACGGCCCCTTCGAACGGCCGCGGCCCCACGGGGGCAATTTGGACCGCACTTTCATGCCGCGCGAAGACGCGAAGCGCAGCGACGAGTACTTGCAAAAAAACAAGAAAAACGTTTCTTGCAAAAGCAGCCACTTGCAGCTCTCCACGCTCCACGTAAGCCCTGCGAAAGCTGCTCTCAAAAAGGCCTTTTAAGCCGAAGTTTTGAAGCAAATTATTGCACAAGAGAAGTGCTGCAGGCTGCAGCGCGGGCTTTCAGTTTGCCCAGCGACTGGGCGAGGCTGCCTGCAGCCACAGGCTGCTGCGCTGCGAAGTAGGCGGCTGCTTGTGCAGCAAATTAACATAATTTATTTAATAATTTACTTCTTTTACTTGCTGCTGCTGCTGCTGCTGCTGCTGCTGCTGCTGCTGCTGCAGAACGTGACGGGAGCGGACTTCGGGGAAATGCGCCACGGGCTCAAAAGAAACCCCTGCGAAGACCACGCCTTCGACTTTGTGTTCCCCCCCTCTGCCTCTTGAGCAGCGAATTGTGTTTGGTGCAGCACTTCGGAGGAAATTAATTCAAGAAGAAGCAGCAGCAGATCTGCTGCAGCAGCAGCAGCAGCAGATCTGCTGCAGCAGCAGCAGCAGCAGATCTTTGGGAATGGTTGGCTCTTGAAGCCACGCGCATGCACTACTCCACACCAAAGCCTAACTCTACTTAGTTTTGTTCTTTTGCAAACATTGGCCTCAGAAACTGCAGAGTGGGCTTTATAGATTTGTCCACAGCCCCTGCGGCACTGCAGCAACACTTGGCTGCTGCTGCTGCTGCTGCTGCTGCTCGCGCAGCGCAGCAGCAGCAGCAGCAAACCGCAGAGCGCCGCAGCACAGATTTGGAATTGCAGTTTCATAATTATAAATAATTATCCCCGCGAGAACATTTACGAATAAGTGCGTTTGCCCTTTATTTGAGGTGTACAGACACCTCAGGCGACACCAAGGCCACAGCTTTCCGCCCCGACTCCGCACATCATTTCAAATCTTTTCAAATCATTTCAAATCTTTTCAAATCTATTCAAATCTTTTCAAATCTTTTCAAATCTATTTAAATCTATTTAATTGCTTTTTGCATCAAATCCAAAGGGCAAAAGGGTCTCAGTCTAAATTGCAAACCCAGAGAGCAGCTCTGCCTGTAGAGCAGCAGCTGCGGGCGCAAATGCATGCGCCTTTTGTCTTTGTTGTTTATTTTTATTTATTTTAATTTTATTTTTGTTTTTATTTTTCCAAATTTTTGCCTAAGGCCTTTCCCAAGCTACTACTAGCAGCTGGAGCTCGTGGGGGCCTGCAGCAGCAGCAGCGAGTCCTGCAGCAAGCAGCGTGCGCGCCTTTGCTGCTGCGCTGGTCCTGCGACTGCTGCTGCTGCTGCTGCAGCTGCTGCTGCTGCTGCAGCTGGTGCTGCTGCTGCTGCAGCTGGTGCTGCTGCTGCAGCTGGTGCTGCTGCTGCTGCTGCAGCTGGTGCTGCTGCTGCTGCTGCTGCTGGTGCTGCTGCAGCAGCTGCTGCTGCTGCTGCTGCTGGTGCTGCTGCAGCAGGTCAGTCCTCGTCGATCTTGGGGGCGACGTAGAAGCGGAGGCAGCTGAAGTCTTCTGCGTCGACGGCCATTGCTGCTGCTGCTGCTGCTGCTGCGCTGCAGTGGCCTGGGGGCGGCAGCGGGAAAGTGAAGCGCATGGGAGTGCCTCGAGTCATGGCCACTTCGAGGCGTTCGCAAAGGCTGGCGCCTTTCACGAAGTTCGACAAGTAGCGCACTGCGAAGTCCTGTTCGAAACTCTCGCTGCACTGCATGTCCTGCAGCAGCAGCAGCAGCAGCAGCAGCAGCAGCAGCAGCAGCAGCAGCAGCAGCAGCGGCGGTGCAGCAGCAGCAGCAGCAGCAGCACTTGGGGAAAAATTCGTTTTGAAAAAATAAAAATTGCTTTTATTCAACAAGACTTCAATAATGCCTCAGGCAGTATTCATGTGTGTTTGTCCAGCAGCAGCAGCTTCTTTGCATGCATTAAAATATAATTAAATGGTTATTTGCATGCATTAAATGTAATTAAACGGGTATTTGCATGCATTAAATATAATTAAATGGGAATTGCATGCACTAAATACAATTAAATGGTTACTTGCATGCATTAAATACAATTAAATGGGTATCTGCATGCATTAA